AATTTGGACTTTACTTTATGTAAAATGTTCCGAGAAGTCGATTGGTGTCGAGAAAGCCGAAAAATTCCTGATAGTTTGAGCGTTATGGAGGAATATAGCTTTTGCTTATTATTACCTAATTCAGCGATTTTTAGTAAAACCAGTGTTCAAAAAATTGAACAATTTGGACTTTACTTTATGTAAAATGTTCCGAGAAGTCGATTGGTGTCGAGAAAGCCGAAAAATTCCCGATAGTTTAAGCGTTATGGAGGAATATAGCTTTTGATTATTATTACCTAATTCAGCGATTTTTAGTAAAACCAGCGTTCAAAATTGAACTATTTTGAACTTTACTTTATGTAAAATGTTCCGAGAAGTCGATTGGTGTCGAGAAAACCGAAAAATTTCTGATAGTTTAAGCGTTATGGAGGAATATAGCTTTTGCTTATTATTACCTAATTCAGCGATATTTTAGTACTATTTTGGTAAAATCACCGTTCAAAAAGGATAATATTTTAAACTACACTTTATGCAAAATTTCTGATAGTTTATGCTTCATGCTGTTTCGTTTAAATTATTTTTGGGACGCCCATTGTAATTGAACTTTTATTTTTTGTAAAAATCAAAAAAACGTTGAGTTTATCATTATAAAAACCTGTGTTTATTTTGATTTTATAGTAATTTTTAAAACTTTTTGGATGAAATCAGATTGTCTCGAAAATAAAATAAGTTACAATATTTTGTGTATTTACCGAAATTCCGTGTTTTTTTTTAATATTTGGATAAAAGTTTGTGTTTTTTTCTATAATGTAGTGGAATTTAGTCCTTAGTCTTTGTGTATTAAATTTATAAAAACAATATACCGAGGGGCCATTAACTCTGGAATTAGTTGTACAAATTTCTGGAATTTAATCGAAATTGCTTGGAATTATTAAAATTATCTTTGGATTGTTTGGAATTTCTGGAATTTTTTGGAATAACTGGAATTGTCAGAGATAATTTCTTTTGAAAATTACGGGAATTATGTTGTAATTACAAGAATTAATTTGGCCATATACGAATTATTAGTACTAGAATTTCGGTGGAATTTTTTTAGAAATTCAGGAATTCTTTTTGAAAGCGCTGAAAGTTTTTTGGAATTGTCGGAGATAATTTTTAAAATTAATTTTTAAATTTAGTTAAATTATTTAGATGCTTATAAGATTTTTTGATAGAACTATCGGAATTAATTTGGAACTACTAGTACAGGAATTATTTTTCAATTACAAAAATTAAGTTGGGTTTACAGGAATTTATTTGGAATTATCGGAATGAATCTAAAAATAATCGAATTACGAAAGAATYTTGTAATTATGGAGGAATATAGTTTTTGCTTAGTATTACCTAATTAAGCGATTTTTAATACTATTTAATCAATTTTGGTAAAATCACTGTTCAAAAATTGAAATATTTTAAACTACACTTCATGAAAAATTTCTGATAGTTTACGCTTTATCGACGGATGTAAATTAGTTTTCTCTCTACTTTTTCACGATAAAATTTACTGAACTTTTCGAAATACCTAATTCAGTTGCTACTTTGGCTCCTTTCAATTAATGAGATTATTTTTATTTTATTATAATTCGAAATTGGAGGCATAACAATTTGAAATGTTTTGACTTTACATGACAAGTATCAAAATTAAACAGCTAAAATTTTGAAATTATGACATTTTAAAGTGACACTGACGACCAAATTTTTTTGATTTTAACTGTATATGTTTATGAAACTAATGTTTTGTTTAAATAACTTTTGGGATGCCCACTATGTTTTGTAAATATCAAAAAAAGCGTTGAGTTTATTTTTTTTTCTAATAAATTACTAGGTGGTTGTAAAAACCTGTGTTTATTTTGATTTTATAATAATTTTTTAAACTTTCAAGATGAAACCAGATTATGTCAGAACTAAAATAACTTACAATAGTCAAATATGTGTGTTTAACGAAACACCCTATTTTCTTGAATATTTGGATAAAATTTTCTGTTTTTTTCTATAATAATTTAGTAAAACTTGTATTATTGTGTTTTTTTGGTAATAAATTTTTGAAAATAATATACCAAGGGTTTGTTAACTCTGGAAATAGTACAAATTTTTGGAATTGGAATTCAACCGAAATTGCTTGGAATTGTTGGGAAGTAATTATCTTTGGATTATTTGTTAATTAACTGAAACTTTCCTGAAACTACTGAAATTCGTTTTAGAATTTTTGGAGATAATTTCTTTTGAAAACTACGTTGAAATTTTTAGAATTATCAGAATTAATTTGGAATTACGGAAATTAAGTTGCAGTTAAGGTGGAATTACAGGAATTAATCTGGAAACAATGGAATATTATTGGAATTAAGTATTAGAATTTCAGTGCAATTTTCTTAGAATTACAGGAATTTTCTTCGGAATTCTTGAGAGTACTGACTTTTTTTGGAATTATCGGAGAGAAGTTTTAAAATTACGTCGATTTTTTTAGAATATGATTTTCTTGATAGAACTATTGGAATGAATTTGAAATTACAGCAATTGTTTTGGAATTACAAAAATTAAGTTCGAATTATGGAAATTAAGTTGAATTATAGGAATTAATCTGCGATTAATGGAATTACGAAAGATTATTGCAGTTACTGAAATTAATTTGGAATTATAGGAATTAATCTAAAAATAATAGAATTCCAAAAGAGTTTTGCAATTACTGGAATTTCTGTAAAATTTTTGGGAATTAGTAGAATTGTGATGGATTTTTTAAATATACCTAATAATATGTGTTTTTGTCAAATAAAGCAAATCACTCAGTGAAAATGCTTAAAATTGTCAGCAATAAAAACTACATCAAAACTGGGTGTTTTAAACAAAAAACATTAAAAAACTATTATTGCCTGTTTTTTATTTCAACTGACAAAAAATATGTGACAAAATCAATATGCAAAAATTTTAATTGCTTTTGTTTTAAATCACCACTCTTTGGGTTAGATTTTTGGGTTCTATCAAAATTAAATTTTAAATAAATATCGCAATTTACCTTGGTTGCACTTGGCTGGCCCTGCGACTGTCTGCAAAATCCGGTGGTACCGGTAACGTGGTCAAAAAATCCGGATCATCAACTGTTGAGTCTCTTCTAACATCTGGCATTGGTGATATGTTGGCTAGCCTGGCAGTAATAATCGAGCTCGTGGGTGATGGGCAAGAGCTAACATCTGAACTAGACCCAGACTCAATAATTGGTAGCACTTTAAGCGAGTCCATTTTGGCCGTTTCCTTATCCAGATCCGTACTTAGCGAGATTTTGACTGTTGGTAAATTGGATGAAGTTTGTCTGTTTTGCTCATCGACCACTTGCTCAGTATGCTCCACCAAATTTCGTATCGCTCTTTTGAGACTGTTGGCCCTCAACAACAGAGCGTCCTTTTCCCGCTCCATAAACCTGGAAGTGCGTCTATGTTTCCTAAAGTTAAAATTACTCAAATCTTTTTCGCTTTTCTCCGATTTGGCTTTATCGAAAGACATTTCGCTGTCGGTGTCTTCTTGTTTCGTTTTGGCATCGTCTAAGTGTGCCGCATCTAATTGTTCGCTGGTTAATGTAGCTAATAATAAATCTAACTTCTGTTGTAAAATATCACACTTTTTGCCCAACTGCTCGTCACCTCGCGTCACTGAACTTTCCGAAAGTTGGGTCGCAAACTCCTTCACAGTTTCGCATAGTCGTTTTGCAGAGTTTAGAATGACGGAAGTTTCGTCCGATTGGAGGATATTTTGCAAGTGGGTCACTAGGGAGTCTTCATATTGGGTTATTTGGGTGTGTAATTGACCATCGGGTTGACCGGGAGTTAGGGAGAGTTTAGGCATGGCTATGGTACGCTCGAAGGCCATTATTGACCAACGATCGAGCATTTTTGTTCCGGCTTTCTCGTATTTCTCCAACAGCTGTGGCAAGTGGGTGTCGTCGTCACAGGACGAACCCCAACCCAAAACACGGGCTAGGTCGTTGCCCGTGCCTAAGGGCAGCACCGCCACCTGGCACTGTTTCTGCAACAGAAAGATTTATACAGGGTGTTCCAACTATTGATATTTATCGAAAATCTTGTTTATAGCCATAATTCGTCAGAACAAGTAAGAAAATCTTAGTCAACACAAAATAATGAAAATAACGCAAAAATTAAAAGAAAAACACGACAAGATAATAAAAAAACAAAACAAAATTGACATAAAAATTCAAGTTATAAATAATGTACATTACGTAATACAAACGAATTATCAAAAAAATACCAATATAAAGACAGAAAAGTTTAAAAAACAAAACTCGAGTTAAAAAACTACGAACATGAGGAATTATTAAGTTTTTTATTTTGTACAAAAAAACTATAAATA